GTTCACTATAAGGGGAGGGTAGGAGATCAAGAGAACCTTCATACATACTGATCAAGAAAAAGTTACAAATTAAGCAATCTATACATATGAAAAACACATGTAGAAGAGAAGAAAGTTTCTTGTGTATTACCAAGACTTTGCTAACTGAAGCTCCTTTGAACAATCTTCTACATTTGTATTGAAACATTTTAATTTCAACTCAAGTTTAGGTTGAACATTATAGGGAACTGAAGATCCATAAATCATACGGTAGTCCCAATCATAATCTGTATCAAAGCATAAATATTTTTGTTAAATAATTCATAATATTTAAATCTTGGGCATAATTAATAGCAAAAATATGATCAATTAAACACTACGCACCTAATTCATTATAAGGCGATGGTAGGAGCTCAATTGGACCTTCAAACATGCTGATAAAAAAGAATTACAAAATTAATCAATATACCTATAAAATACATAATCACTTAAAAACAAACAATATAGATAATAGAGTTTCTATCACCAAGATAAATTTTGATCAGATATACGATTACTTGAACCATCTATAAAATTTGTGGTAAAATATTTTAATTTTAACTCAGGTCGAGTCTGGACATCATAAAGAATTAAAGATCCATAATATATATGGTACTCCCTAGCGTAATCTATATGAGAGCATAAATATCTTTGTTAAATAATTTAATATCTCATAATTAATAGCAAAAAAATGATAAATTAAACATTATATACAATTCATTATAAGATGAGGGTAGGAGTTCAATTGAACCTTCAAACATACTGATTAAAGAGAATTACAAATTTAATCAATCGACTTAAAAAATAAATAATCACTTAAAAACACATTGTAGAGAAGCGTTTTTGTTACCTAGATATAATTGCAAGACGAATCACGTTTTTAATTTCAAAACTATTTGCAACACCGAATAACATAAAATACAATGTCATCATTCTTATAATTTTTTGGTTTCCAAAACAACATAATATAACAATGATAAACTTTACATGATACAATTTGTAATTTGAAGTTCATTAAACATTTCCAAATAAAAGTTCATTTTATGTTTTATGAATAAAAATACATGAAGAATTTATATGAGTTTGAAAACTTACCTTTCTCTGACTTTTCTGAATGCAAGTCTCAATTAAGTAACTCTTACTTTTCACATAGTGTTGAAATAATGATTCAGTGCTTATTTATAGATTTTAGTTTAGCTTATCATCTTCTAATAACAAATTTTTAAATCTCATCTTAGTTCGCTTTTTTGTAGCCTTTATTTTTTCTATGCGGTTAACGTTGTTTATAGACTTTTATCTTATATTTCTTTTAATTAATATCAAACATTCCAATGTATCAGATACAAAATTTACTTTAACTTATTTTTTTAATATAATTTTATATTTAAAATATATTGAATATAGGCTCCTTATTTTTCGATATTCTTTGTTTTTATTGGGTAAAAAATGACCGATTTGATTTAATAAAGAATTTGATAAAAGTTTTTTTTACACAATAATATTTAATAGATATATTTATATTTAGTATGATAAAAAACTTAAAACAAACTTAAAGCAAACACATTTAAAACATATATTAAAATAGTTAAGTAGTTCAAATTAAAAGTATATTTAATCAAAATCTCATATGTCCAATAATTTTTTAAACTTATCTTTAAAATTTTATAAGTTTTAAGTATTTAATATTAGTTGAATCATTAATATGCGCCATTTATTATTGTTGAAGTTTGTATTTGTGTTGTTAAAGTTTGTTTGAAGTTTCACATTATTTAGGTCTCAGGCGGTTGAGTATATAAATATATGAGGATAGTCTCATCCTTTGAGCTATCTTTTAGGGTTGAGATTCAAGTATATTTAAGATGTATTAAAACATAAATATATGAGAACAATCTCACCCCTTAAACTAACTTTTTAGATTGAGATCCAAACATATTTAACAATTGTGAACATATTATTATATTTTAAATTTTTTTAATATAAAAATATTCATAATTAAATTATACTATTAATTTACGGTTGTTACAAAATATCTTGTGTTATAATTTTTTTGTCAAATTCGATCCAAATGAATAGTTGTTATCGAAAATGTTAAAACTAGATATAAAATTAAAAAATAAATAAATATTAATTTTTTAGTTTTTAAATTTTTAAATTATATAAATAAAATTTATATAGAAATAGAAAGCAAACACACATTTACTTTTTTTTATGGCAAAATTAATCCTTTTAAAAGTTATATTCATAGGCTTATGAGATTTAACATTGATTTTCATAAAACTAAATGAATGTTAAATTTGAAAAAGTTTTTGTGACACTGAATGTACAACTTCCTTTTTTTTCTCCCTCATTGATAGCTATATGGTGAAATTTTAGTAAAACAAATCACAAGGATGAGTAACAAGAAGAGTTTATAAGAAATAGAAAGAGACTAAAATAATATTATAGATACTACCAATTAAAGTCTTTATACTTATCGTATCATCTAGGTTTTATAAAAAGTAAATTCTGATTTACGGAATATACTTCCTTTATTGATTTGTTTGTCTGACACGCTGATTTCAATACTTTCTAGTTTTTCCCCACATCTGCCCCGCCCATAATTATATTGGATTTTTACCCCATTAAATTAGGAGCAGGGGTTGTCAGATCCAGGTTAGATTTTCTTATTATGCCTATTAGAGTCAAGGATCCATATGTAAAGTGACAATATTTCTGACATATTAGGAGAGTTAAAACCTTCAACATGGGAGGCAAGCATAACATGTGACTGGGATCAAAAATATTTTGATGTTGCTCTGCATATTACATATTTGAGGAGTATTCTCATATGAGTATACCTGACCATAATCATAATCAATGGTAGTAGAAGTCGCAACAACAATATTGGATGATGTACTGTTAAAATTCTTTAACTTGAGATATTAGGACTTCCAATGACTTTTTTTCTTACAAAAATCACATCATAAATACCAAATTTAGTTCTCCCATGAGATTTTCCTTTGTGAATAGAAGCAGCAAAACAGATGGAAGACGGTAGAGTTCTTTCACTACAAAAAAAATTCTCATTAGCGATGTGATTTTCACGTCACATCATGAAGAATCACATTACAACACATCTCATTCACATAGCATCTTACTAAAACATTTCCAAAATCATGGTTCCTACTAGTCATACCTTAGATTCAAATAATTATTCAAAATATCAAACAAAGTCAAAATCAAGCAAATGAATATATTTCAGAAATATTAGAGAATCTATTTTAAGACTATGATTTTTATTTTAGGACTTAAGATCCCAATTGGTACAATTTAATCAAACAATAGGAATTGGTATAGTCATCATGAAGAATGTTTTTTCGGACTTATAACTAGTATTTCTCCTACTGAATTTAATGGAATGAGATGCTTATTGATTAAATTTTGTCTATTTTCTTATGATATAAGGTATACTCTTAAAGGACTTGTGTAATGTGAGTTGTATCCAAATTACTAACAACATATCAAATAATTGTGATCCCAGAGTTTCCCAAGTTAAGCACTTAAACATCTATTATCACGGCTAATCATCTTATATCATTAGTTAGAAATCTAATTTCACAAATTAAGTACACTTAAACATCTATTATCATGACTAATCATCCTATACCATTAGTTAGAAATCTAATTTCCCAAATTAAGTACACTTATGTTCAATTTCAATATTAAACTCACGACATGTACACAATTACAAAGTTCCACAATGTTATTCATATAAAACTCGTAAGAATATACCATATTCACAATATCATTCACTCGCATAAACATCATTAGGAATTACCATAATCACGACGTTGCCTATATATTTACACCTCATGAGTTCATTACACTAAGAAAGATCTATGTCTTAAATTTCCGATATTCTTTGTTTTTATTGCGTAAAAAATGACAGATTTGATTTAATAAAATTTGATAAAAGTTTTTTTTACACAATAATATTTAATAGATATATTTATATTTAGTATGATAAAAAACTTAAAACAAACTTAAAACAAACACATTTAAAACATATTAAAATGATTAAGTAGTTCAAATTAAAAGTATATTTAATCAAAATCTCATATGTCCAATAATTTTTTAAACTTATCTTTAATGTTTTATAAGTTTTAAGTATTTAATATTAGTTGAACCATTAATATGCGCCATTTATTGTTGTTGAAGTTTGTATTGTGTTGTTAAAGTTTGTTTGAAGTTTCACATTATTTAGGTCTTAGGCGGTTGAGTGTATAAATATATGAGGATGCCTCATCCTTTGAGCTATCTTTTAGGGTTGAGATTCAAGTATATTTAAGATGGTATTAGAGCATAAATATGTGAGAGCAATCTCACCCATTAAACTAACTTTTGAGATTGAGATCCAAACATATTTAACAATTGTGAACATATTATTATATTTTAAATTTTCTAATGTAAAAATATTCATAATTAAATTATACTACATACACTAAAGATTGGATAAAAGAAAAGTCGGTGGCGACTCTTGCACACCATAACATTTGCGATAAAACACCAAAAAAGTCAGTTCTTCCACCGTATTACAACTGCCATACACTAAAGACTCAATAACCTGGCCGAACAGGCCAACCTGCTCTGATACTACTAATGTAACACCCCTTTAAACCCAATGAATTTTCGTAATTATTTAAATAAATAAATCAAAGTAATATCACCAACAAGGGTCTCACATATTCACAAAAACATCTTAATAATGCATCCAAAAGTCATACAAAAGTTGATATCTAGCAATAGTTATATAGCCAAAAAGAAAGAACAATACCAAAAGTCCTCATTTGAGCAAATAGTCATCTACAATATCTACATATTATGTAACTCGGAACATATTCAATTCATAAGAAGACTAAGGAGATTGATAGAGTATCCACTATACAACACGAAAACAAAACTTGAGGAAAAAGAAAAGAAAGAAACCTAGGGCTTCACTTGTTCTAAACTCTACCATCCATACCATCTAGTAGGCCAGTCCAGATTCCCTTAACTGGTGGTAATTGTGCGACCAAAGCATTCCAAGGAGGATAACCAATGCCACTGCCACGAACTCGACCATCCAAGCGTAAAGATAGATACCTGCACAATGAGTGTCATAACAACAATATCACATGTATTTAAAAGAACACATACAAGAAAAACACAAACGAGTTCAATAAATTCTGCTTATGTCTCCGACTACAAAGTGGTCTGCAGTAATTTTCTATTGTTCAAACTTAGAGTTATATATCACAACTTGTATTTAAATACTACAATTTCTTTATACAATTCTTATACATTTTGGTCTCTCCCTTAAGCACCTTGTCCTTTTGAACCTCATACTTGAGGGACTGTAAATTTCGGTCTCTCTCAAGACCCGGTACGAATCCAGGCATGGAGTGACCTCAACATAAATGAGCCTAAGCGAATAGGCTGGCCCAGAGCCGAGACATCTGGTTGATAGCTAGTACACTTCAATAAGCGGACATAGTTTTAAAGGCATATTAAAGGTCTCATAAATGGTCGGTCTCAGACAAAGAAACAAGGGGCTTGATGCTCGTTAATCGTCCTTAGCTAGACCGGGAGAGAGTTACCATAATGACAATGAGAGCCTATAAAACCTTATCTAAAGGGTCAATCGCTGCACATAGATGACAGATTTTTCATACTCTTCACTCTCAAATAAACATTGCGAATCTTATTGGCCTAGCACGAGTAGAGAGTAGTGTACAATTCTCGATCATGTATAAGTGCTTTAGCTAAAAAATGAAATATCTAGAAATTAAACATTTCAACACTATCAGGGATAGCACTTACACTGGAGAATCAGAGGAAACACCTGCCATCTTCTTTTGTTCATCTAGCCACCTATCAACAACAAAAAGAAGAAGAAGAAAAAAATGAAAACAATTGGAAAAACAAATTCAATTGCATATTAACTGTGTCTTCATAGACATACTCAGACCACTCAGAAACGATAGCTGGCGCAAGCTGCCATAGTCTCTTCCTTCTGGTGGCAAGTTGCTTCCCTTGTTCGGTCTCCTCCGTTTCCTCAAACTCCAAAACAGGTGAATTTCCATCCGTTACGAAGGGAACAACAAGCACTCCTCGATCCAAAAGACTTTCGGTGAAAGGCTCGCTGCGCTTGAAAGACTCAGTTATAAAGGAAGCTGGTCCAACACAGATTACAAGCCGAGCAATTCCTCTCAATGAGTTAACAGGAATGATCTTCTTCTGGCTCACACGGAGCTTAAGATTTGACAGAAACTCCTCTCGAGAGAGCCGAGCCTCTTGTGCATTCTTGGCTTTGTTATCTCTTAAGTACAAGAAAGCGAACAAAGATACTGCTCCAATGTCAATGCCAAGGCCTTTGAGAATCTCAGGAACTTCGGATGCTCTTGATGGATTAGACAACGCGCCAATTAGTTGCGTGATTGCTATGAGTGTTCCAAGAGAAGCACTTGCAATAAAAGCGGTGTAAAAGAACATTCTAACAGCCCGAAAGGGAGATAGAACCTCGCTCCTTATCTTGGCTGTAGAGCTGAAGAACAACAACAAATAGGATTAATGATTCATTGATGAAATGAAACATTCACTACAGAACAAAAAAAAAAAAAAGAGTACCTAATTTGAGGAGAATTAGATGATTTATTGGAAGCAGAACAAACAATAGTGGCAACAGAAGGTGTTTGGTGAGAATAGAAGAGAGTGTGGCCATAGCTGAGAGTTGAGGTAGTGAATCTAAAATTAGTACGAGGTGATGTTGGGAGATGAGTGAGAAACAAAGTGTTGGTGATAGAAGAACCGAACGATGTTAATGCCATGGTTCGGTTCCTAAGCAAATGTTTCAGTATTTTGCCATGACTATGAGGAAGGAGAGTGAAATAAGTGATCCTTATTTGGATGATTATGGTATTGCCACGCTTTATCCCCCAACTACTATATATAATAATTATATTATTTTCAAAAATTACAAAGATGACATTCATAAAAAATAAAATTTAGTTAATAAAAGTTACTATTAAATCTCAAAAATATATTTGTTAGTTAATTTTGTAAGTTATGTTTATTTGACATCACTTGTATGCTTATTTCTATTATGACAATCATAATAGTCATACAAAGTGATTTCTCTCTTAGGAGATAAATGTCTACAATTGTTTCGTCATCGAGCCTTAGTTTTCAAAAAAAGAACACTAGTGTTACCTTAAAAAAATTTTAAGATATTTATTGCATTGTTAGTAGGGTAACCATGTGAACTGAAGGGAAAGTGTCTTTCAGGAGTAGGGACTTTAAGAAAATTAGAGTCAAGAAAATGATAGCTGGAAAGTTCTTATAAAGAATTAAAGAGAGATCGACGAACAAAAGAGCAAGTAGTCGATAGAAAATAACAAGTCAGAGGACTTTAGTTCCATCGACAAAAGTGGAATCCAAGACTTAGAGAATTTGGGTTACTTGTTTACGGTAAAGGTTGATGTCGAAGCAAAACTTATAGGCGGGATAGATATTGAAATTTGAATATTACATCAGTTGCAAGAAGTTTTGTTGTGAATTCAATGCCAATAACAAAGTATAGAATAAGGGAAGAATAAAGAACAAGGAAGAAGAAGAACACAAGAATTGGTTATAACTGCTATTCTTTACTTTCTCTTAGAAAACAAGATTACAAGTTTACAAGAATAACAAATAACCCTCTCACCCTAAATTAGGATTTGCTGTGTGTTGCAATGATGAGAGACTAGTATGCTATTTATAATAAAACCTAACATACTAACTAATGGGCTTTTTCCACAAGGCCAATATACAAGCTAACTTAACAAACAAGCTAACTTAACAAATTAGGGTTTAAACACTAAAACCTAATTCGACAAGAATCCTTCGACAAATACATGCTAGACCCTTCTTCGACTACAGCATGTACTTCGACCAACTAGAGTTCGATCCAAAATCCCACAAATCTCCACCTTGGACCTAACTCTACAGCATCAAGAGACACTAACTAGCTTTCTTCATGCAGCTTTATCAACTGCATACAGTGGAAAAACTTGCAACTTGGCAATGTTTTGGTGATCATATCAGCAGCATTGTGATCTGTCGAGACCTTCAGCACTTGGACTTCTCCACGCTCGATTACCCCTCTGACGAAATGCAGCCTCACATCTATGTGCTTGGTTCGCTCATGATAGGCTGAGTTCTTCGACAGGTGTATTGCACTTTGACTATCACATTTAACAGTGATACCTTGACCTTGAAGTTTCAGCTCCTTTGCAAAACCTTCAAGCCACAATGCTTCTTTCACAGCTTCAGTTAGGGCAATATATTCTGCTTCAGTAGTTGATAAGGCAACAACCTTCTGAAGAGTTGCTTTCCAACTAATTGCTGTACCAAACATAGTGAAAACATATCCAGAAATAGATTTTCTGGAATCCATACAACCTGCATAATCGGAGTCAACATAGCCTTCGACTGCTGCTTTACTATCTTCACCCAAGGCTCCACCATAAATTAAGACTCTGTTCAGAGACCCATTTATGTACCTTAAAATCCACTTTAACGCTTGCCAGTGAGCCTTTCCAGGATTCGCCATGTACCTGCTTACAAGACTTACTGCATATGCTATATCGGGTCTAGTACAGACCATAGCATACATCAAAGAACCAACTATATTAGCATATGGGATGCTATTCATATAGGTTCTTTCGACATCAGTACTGGGACATTGATCAATACTCAGCTTGAATTGAGGGTTTGTTGGAGTCACAACAGGCTTCGAGTTCGACATACCAAACTTGTCAAGAATCTTTCGTAGGTATGCCTCTTGAGATAAGCATAATTTCGACTGCTTTCTATCTCTTCGAATGTCAATTCCAAGAATCCTAGATGCAGCTCCCAGATCCTTCATGTCGAACTCCTTATTGAGTTCAGCCTTCACCCTCATTACATCTTCGACATTGTTGCTTGCTATCAGAATATCATCAACATAAAGCAACAAAATAACAAATGAATTTTCAGGTCGAAATCTGGAGTAAACACAATGGTCGAACTGACTTCTAATGAAACCTATGTGTTCCATGAACTTGTCGAATCTCTTATTCCACTGTCGAGGAGATTGTTTAAGTCCATATAAAGATTTCTTCAGTTTGCACACGTAATCTTCTTTCCCCTTTTCGACATACCCTTCAGGTTGCCTCATCAGGATTGTTTCATCTAAGTCACCATACAAGAACGCAGTCTTCACATCCATTTGTTCCAGTTCAAGGTCGAACTGAGCCACCATGGCAAGCAACATTCGGATGGATCTGTGCTTCACAACAGGGGAAAATACATCATTGAAGTCGACACCTTCTTTCTGAGTGAAACCCCTTGCGACTAATCTTGCCTTGTACCTCTTCGACATTACTCCTTCAATTCCTTCCTTAACTTTGAAAATCCACTTACAGCTGACTAACCTTGCCCCAACAGGTTTCTTGATTAGTTCCCAAGTGTGATTATCATGAAGAGATTTCATCTCATCATGCATGGCCTTTAGCCATTCAGTCTTCATTCGACTCCTCATAACTTCCTTATAATCTCTAGGTTCTTCGTCTAGAACTTCACTTGCAGAGATTAAGGCAAAAGCTACAAGATCTGCATATCCAAGTCTCTGAGGTGGTTTTATGACTCTTCGTTGCCTATCTCTCGACAATAGGTAGTCATCAACAGTTTCCTCAACATCATCAGAATCTTCTGTTTCTTCTTCGACTTCATCTGGGATACGCATTTCAGCATCAACATGCTCCACCTCAACAGGAATCTCTACCTGTTCCAGCTCTTCGTCAACATCATCAGTTTTCTTGAAAGCCATTTCCATTTCATTGAAAACTACATCTCGACTGGTGATACACCTCCTGTGACCTGGCTCTAGGCACCATAGCCTATAAGCTTTTACTCCTTCAGGGTATCCCATAAACATGCATTTCAGAGCTCTAGGTTCGACCTTGTCTTGCCTAATGTGAGCATAGGCTACACAGCCAAATACTCTTAGTTTGTCGAGATCTGGTGGATGTCCCGACCAAACTTCTTCAGGTGTCTTCATATCTAACGCTGTCGAAGGACATCTGTTTATCAGATATGCTGCTGTCGAAACAGCCTCAGCCTAAAACACCTTCTTTAATCCCGCACTAGTCAACATGCATCTAACTCTCTCCAAAATAGTTCGATTAAACCTTTCAGCCAAACCATTTTGTTGAGGAGTACCTGCGGTAGTTCTGTGCCTTGCAATACCAGAGGCAACACAAAAACTGTCGAACGCCTCATTGCAAAACTCAAGGCCATTGTCGGTTCTCAACCTCTTTACCTTTCTGCCAGTTTGATTTTCGACAAGAGTCTTCCAACTTTTGAAATTCTCAAAAGTTTCATCCTTAGTCTTCTGGATGAATACCCATAACTTTCTGGAATAGTCATCTACTATGGATAGAAAATACTTTGCTCCTGAATGTGATGGACACCTTGCAGGCCCCCAAAGATCAGCATGGATGTAATCAAGGGATCCATGTGTTCTTTGTTTGCCTTTGTTGAACTTCATTCTACAGGACTTTCCAAGTACACAGGGTTCACAAAACTTCAGCTTTTCGATTTTATCTCCACCAAGCAGATTTTGTTTCCCTAATTCGACCAGACCCCTTTCACTGACATGGCCCAATCTCATGTGCCAAATTTCTGTCTTCGACAAAGGTTTCGTGGATGCAACATTTGTCGAACCACTTACAACTTCAGCCTCAAGGGTATACAAGCCTTGTTTCTTCACGCCTCTCAAGACTTCCTTCGACCCTTTCATGACTCTCAGGATACTTTTCTCTCCTTGAAACACATATCCTTTCTTGTCGAATTCACCAAGAGAAATCAAATTTCTCTTCAAATCAGGTACATACCTGACTTCAGTCAACAATCTTATTGACTCATCATGGAGCTTGAATCTCACAGATCCAACGCCTGCAATCTTGCAAGCTTTGTTGTTTCCCAGCAATACCGATCCACCATCTTGATCACATAATTCCTCGAACAAGTCTTTGTTTGGAGTCATGTGCCAAGTGCATCCAGAATCCATAATCCACTCCTTCGACGAGTTGTTGCTTGAAACCACAAGAACATCAGATGATTCGAAATCATCTTGGACAATAGCTGCATTGCCATTATCCTTACCTCCATGATCTTTCAGGCGTTCAGGGCACACCTTTCTTGTGTGACCTACTTTCTTACAGTGATAGCATCTAATACCAGATGTGTCACCACTATAAGACTTCGACTGATTTTTACCTTTCTTCTTGTCGAATTTTCCTTTAACAGCCAAACCTTCACCAACCGTCGAAGGTTTATGCTCCTTACGTTCGTTCAAGTCCTTAGAGTACAAGGCTGATTGAACTTCTTCAAAGGTCAGGGACTCTCTTCCATACAAGAGGGTTTCTTTGAAGTGAGCATGTGATCTGGGCAAAGCGCACAACAATAACAACGCTTGATCTTCATCATCAATCTTTACATCAATATTTTCAAGATCAAGAATCAGCTTGTTGAACATATCCAACTGCTCAGCCAACACTTTGTCTTCGATCATCTTGAATGAATACAAAGCTTGCTTCAGGTAGAGTCGATTTACCAGAGATTTGGTCATATACAAACTTTCAAGTTTCACCCATAACCCTGATGCCGTCGTCTCCTTTGATACCTGTCGAAGAACCTTATCACCAAGGCTCAACAAAATTGCGCTGTGTGCTTTCTCGATCATGGCCGTCTTCTCTCTTTCTGTTAACGCAACGTCCATCGCCGTCGCTCCCTTCAACGCTTCCAA